CTATGGGTTCTTTTTATTCTCATTGGACGTCTTACGTGTATTTTCCTAGAAAGATAGCGAAATAATAATTTTGTAGCAAAGAATTAAAAAGTAATAAAGTTTGCGAGAAACACGATTCTGCATCCTCAGAAAAACTAGCCCTGCGAAGGTCCAACGCGCTTAATAATTATTAGAAATTGAAATATATTATAGAAAAAAAAAGACAAACCTTATCTTGGTCTAAAATCCTTTTAGAAGTTTAAATGGGAACCCTGCTGGGGAAACATTTCCCAATTCGCATGTTAGTAGACAACGGTTCGAGAATCAATTTGAGATTAATTGGTATAAGGATCTGCGGCGTCTTAGTGGGGTGTACTGTTGCCCTTCTTTCTGTGGCGACGCTTTTTCTCCCGCCTTCGGAAGCGTCATTCACACCAAGTTGTTTCAAACCAAGCATGGTGTGAAAGACAGTAATGGTTCTTCGTCAGGTTACCTAAAGCGAAACGCAACGGGAGTGACGCGGACTCAATCCGCCGCACTTTGTAATAAATAATATAATGAAGAGATTGTTTTTTATTATTTAAAACGGGGATATCATCCCAGTTAAGCTTTTGGTGTTTTTCCTTTCTGCACTAAAATCCTTTGGGGTTGCTGAAAAGGATCGTGGTGGTGTGGTACACGTTTTCATACGAAAATAGTTTTAAAGACAGAGCCAGCATCTCTTAATGGAAATATGGTGGCGAAGGCAAGAATCCACCTGGGATCCTGATTGAACGCTGCGATGGCTTACATTGCAGAAACCTTCACTGCAAGGGAGGAACCCAGTTAATAGGAATAGGCGCCAACGTACGTTTTTTTCTATGTGGCCATAATGTTCCACTTAATTCTCGTCGGAATGACAAACGGTAGGAAAGGTATGCGATTGGCGGACGGACAAAGTAGCCCAACGCCAGAAGTAGAAGATCCTAAAGAATGTTTTATGACCAATTGATGGCATGGCCATCGCTAAATAAGCGATGAACAGATTATATTGTGTAATATGGCTATTGGCGATTGTGATTCGGTAGAAACATAGATTTGATAATTTTTCCGGACCCCGCTGCCATGGCAAAAGGGCAAAAGACCAAAACTTCAGCCCCCCCTCCAAAAAAAAAATATCTCCTTTACTGTACACTTTCTGGAGATTAGAAGAATAAAAGAAATAGAGAAATATATTGTATTTGGAATCGGAATGGATGACCGGTTGGGGACGCGATTGGGTAAAAGTGGGAAATCCTCTTTTTGAACCCTTACCGTGACACCAAAAAACATCCGGTATTTATGATCCTCTTCCATACTGCACTTGAAGGTGTAAAGGCAACTTACCCAGATAAGTAAAAAAAAGGTGACGTCTAATTGACGGATCCCAGTTCACTTCCGTCACCAAAGCACCTCTCCACCCTTGTCAAAATGCCAAGGGCCATTGAAAGACGATTCTGTTGAACTAGCTCCCTAATCCAGCGCTACAGCATTACAGCGTCCGTAAGTGGTGGTTGTAAAGAGTCTTAAAGCAAGCTTGGGACCGATGATGTTTAAATTAAAGAATGCTTGATGCTGATAATTGTTATAATAAAGGATGACCCAAAAAGGTTTCACAGATCGGGATGTGGCCATCTGGGGCGTGGGTTTTTACTGATTTTCTTTCTTTTCTTCCTGGCTGAGGCGAAAATGGAGCCGCTTTGAGCAACTTGCCTTTTGTTTAATAAACTTTATTCTCTTCTTCAGAGCTCAAAACGCCATGAAGCACCCACAGAAATGCCATTGGCAACCGCACGCCGCAGCATCTAGAAGAATATAGTGGGCGATACAGTACTAAAAGAAGATTTTATTTCTGCCAAGACATGAATACAAAGATTCTGAACACAATGGTGCTGGAAAATGTCACCTTTGGCGCGACTATGCTAATCAGATATCCTTTTGGTGGGTGGGCAAAGCGGGTGGAACCCCATTCCCTTCAGCAAAGAGTTAACAGTAACCCCCCCCCCCCCCCCAAAAAAAAAAAAAAAAAAAAAACCCTTCACGATAACAATAGCAGCACGCAGAATCTGTTAGAAGAATCCCATTTTCCCGTTCTTGGCGCGACGCCTGCGGCCCAAGAAAAGCGAGATTAATCTCCCACCTTCGGAACTTTCGCACGAAGAATCCAGCCGAAGAGGAATTGAAACGACGGCAGAAAGCCAAAGAAAAAATAAAGTACTCACGATTTTCAACGTTCACGCTGTGCGTTCAAAACATGAAATAGGGGCAGGGGTAGGTATTCTCCCTTTGGGTGGCGCCAAGGGTTGGGACATGACTTCGCTGCTTATTGAAAAAAAAAGAAAATAAGGCACCGCAAGCCACAGATAAACTTTTTTATACGATGGAAATGAGGGAAAAAAAGAAAACCCCGACATTCCCGCTAGAGGCAAATTTACATAAAAAAAAACAATGATCCTTGGCATTGGAAAACCAAAGAAAGAAACGATAATTGGTGTGGGAGAAACAGTTTCCACACTTCCACCCCTTAACGTAGCTTGTCCGAAGTTGCAGTGGCTCGAGCGAGCGGGGAACGCAGGAAACGGCGACCGTTAAACGATTTAACCTCCGAAACGCAGCAGTTGTGTAAAACTGTGTGCTCCCATATTCTTGAATACGCTGTAAGAAACATAGGAGAATCAGATATCGGTATAATGAGAGAGTTTTGAAAGTAGGGCGTTGTGCACATCAGCAAACGCATTAAACACAAGGAGGCCCAACCGCAACCAACTAACCGTCAGACCCTCTCAGAAACTGAAAGGGATAGCGGAGCGGAAGGAAAGAGATCGGGGAAGAGACGCTTTAGGAAGAAATCGGACCACATTCTTTTCAAAGTGGAATGATCACTCCCCCAGAAGATATTCAATCCATCGAGGGAAAGGCAAGGAAGGCAACCTGGGCGTACGCTTGTTTAAATGTCACTCTTCGGATCCATCCCCTCCGCTGTTCCTAAATTGATTTTTTTTTTTTGTTTTCTCTTTTTTTGTCTTCTTTATTGGTTCCTAAAATTTCTTCTTTTATTGATTTCCCATTTAAATTTTTTCCATTGTGTACTGTTTGTGGGGTGCGTTGTTCGCGTTTCCTTCCCTCTTCCTTCTGGATCTCGAATGGGCGGCCGGAGGGCTTGGCCTTGGGGCTTTGATTTTCTCATTGGAAAAGGTGAACGGATCATACCATCTCCTCTCTATTTTCTTCCTCTTAATTAAGGGTGGGTAATTTCTCTTTCCCTCCGTTGCTTCGGTTGGTGCCGGCCTTCGGTGTCGGCTGGCCGCTTTGCATCAGCAGAGGTCCTCCAAAAGGAGATTGCCATGCAAACCCAAAATTTAAGAAAGAAACAAGGATCACTTGAAATTCCACGTGATCTGTTCTTGCTGGATCTTTCTTTATTTCTTCCAGCGCCTCTTTTGGCATATCGCCGCCGCCCCTTCCCTCCTCATTTCAAGGGGCGCCGCGTTCCTTTAGATCGTTGGACTCGCGCAAATTTAATGGGAAACCGCGGTGGCTAGCAATGTTTCTGAGGCTGCGGTAATTTCTGCTTTGGGCGGTGCTTGGGGGCAACGCCCTTTGGGTATTTCAGCTCTTCTGCCGCGTTCCGGTCTCAACCTTTGGGGTTGAGGATTTGCACTGTTACAGGAAATGTGCGGAGTTGATCTTTCGCCACGCTTAGGGTTTCCATTTTTTTTTTTTGTTTGGCCACTATATCATGTAATAATCTTTTTTTTTTTTTGAAGTTTCTGAAAGAAATCGCAGCGGTTTTCATCGCTGAACATCGCGAAAACCGCACATTCCATGCAACTTTCTGCAAAATACTAAGGCATTTTCTTACTTATCTATCGTGTAATTTGGCTTCTTGCTAATCTTACCGCTGAAACCCAATCGCCGTTGGCAACACCTGCATCTGCCAGAGAGACGTCATAACGCACAAGAAAGGGTTCTCGTTTTATCGCCCGCCCACCGCCGTCGTGCCTTTCATGATCTTCTCTCCTCCCCTCCCTATTTCTTCCTTATAAATTACATGCCGTGGCATTTTTAAAGTTCTATTTTTCACTTTGGCCACTATGAAATGCGATTGGGGCACCTTTGCTCGCGCTATGCGTGCCCAGTGCCCGTTGGCGTTTCTTCTTTTTTTTTGGCATTTACTTGGCGCCAGTGAGGGTCCTATTTGTTTTCCAACTCATTCATAGGTGTGGCGATGTTTTTCTTAGTTCGATGCGATTGGGAAATGTTGTTATTTGATTTCGCCCTGACTGTTGGCATGCTCTCTGGGTGGGGTTGGTTTCGCTTGAAATTCCAATCCGAGGGTCTTCTGGAATTGGATGGGCTTTCCTCCCTTCCCAGAGGAACGGCGCCGGCCATAGCAAAAAGCACCAATCCCTCAGGGGGTACTTCCGTCGGTGAAACAAAGCGGCGGGAATAGAGAGCGAGCGGGTCCAATAGTTGCGGGCGTGTTTTTTCGCCGCGCCCGCGTTGGCCGGTTGTGTGGTGGGGTGTGTGGGCGAATTCGTGGGCGCCCTTGTTTTGGGATGGGGGTTGTGTCGGGTTGGGTGGCGCGCTGGTGTTTGTGGAGAAGAGGAACTATTTCGCCAATGGAAGAAGGATGCGAGTACACGTCCAGTGCGAACTGTGTACGCGGGATTGGAGGGACGTGCCTCAACGCCAACACCACCTGTTGCATCTCCATCTGTACATGATGGTAGTAACAGTGACCGTAACCATATGAATGGTGATAAGCAGGATATTAATCATAATAACAATGATTATATTAAAAAGAAAGCAATGATGATTTTTCTTTTGTGTTTTGTGTTCTGTTTAAAGATTGATGATGTGCTGACTCTACTAGTCTTGTTTCTGTTGTTCTTCATAGTTGCTGTAACTGGATCACCTATAATCCACATTGTTGACTGTTTCAAAATTTTGTGTCTACAATCTTCCACATGTAGATATTTACATTATTATAAAATATAACCATGAGCACGGAATCTGAATTACAGGCTAAATATAGTGATGCCGTTAAGCGCTGGGAGGCTGCCAAGGAGGCCACTGTAGCTTCCAGGGTCAAAAAGGATGAGAAAGAGGGGCTAGCGAATGAAAAACCATGGGGAAGCAGGGAATGGTATCTTGCTAAGGCGGAATGCAGCAAAGTATGTATTGACTGGGAGGAAAAAAGAGAACAAGAATATTCGGCTGAGCATAAAATGTGTGAGGTCGCAGCAAACTTAATGATCCACGAGCACGGAGGTGATTCTAAGGAAGTACAGATCGCTATGGGGCGCAGAGAGCTAACCAGTATGAAGGAGTTTGTATATTCTTCCTTTTTCCCATATTGGACAGCGTGGGCCAAGTTAAACCATAAAGCTCGTATGCTTTACTGGCAACTCAATGCCAAAGGCTGTGTTGCAGCTGCAGATGATATTGATAGGGCAAAGGATGATTTTCTTTATCGTATAGCAAACGAATCTAATGGTTCCGGCTTTCGCGAAGCTTGGAATGCGGCCGTTAAAGCTCTGGATAAATGGGAAAAACAAAATGACTGTACCGATTGGGATGAGACCAAATCAAAGTACGATGCCGAATTGGAAAAGTGGAAAGAGTTTCAACCGAAAGGGGAGGAGTATGCACTTATTCT